GAGAGAGAGAGAGAGAGAGAGAGAGAGAGAGAGAGAGAGAGAGAGAGAGAGAGAGAGAGAGAGAGAGAGAGAGAGAGAAGGCGTGTGGGGAGGGGGTTAAAGGCATGCCACAAAGTCGGTTGCCTCCCCCCGTCGTGCATCACCTGACGCATTTGCTTTTGCGAGCGAAGCCGCAACAGGTCATCTAGTCAATTATTATTTTTCTTGCACGCATTTGGGGGATCTTTTTAAATAGAGAAATTGTTCTTAATGCTTCTTATTAATAGTTATTAAATTATTAATACTTATATTATGTTAACGTCAATTGAGTTAATGTTGCTCGCTGTCTTCCCCCGAAGACAATGCACCATCCATCATGAACGTATCTGCTATACAGGCAGTGCTTCCGGTCCGGTACAGTCATGATGAGGGTGCATTGTGTCGCGGGAAGGACGGCAGCCATCACTCATTTTGAAGCAGTTGCAAGTTGCAACCACAACTCGTCCGCCTTTTTTTTTTTTTTTTTAAGAAACAGGAACAGGGAAAAGGAAGAGGAGCATGATTCGACTGCTGCCCCGTGTGACAGTGCAGTGGGGAGATCGTCGCTGTTTTTCTCATTCCTTTTCAAAGGAAAAAGTAAAAAAAAACAAGTTCATACTTCCGAAAACTCGATTGAAATCTCGCTTCTCACCCATGTGACGGTGGGCGGTGGGGAGACGAGTACATTGTAAGGATGCGGTGGGTGAGCACATGGAAGACCTAGCTGAGCATTATCAGCACAACAATTGCCACTACAGCTGGCATTGAGCATAAGTACGGAGTGTGGAATGAAGATGAAGGCAAAGGAGAGGATAAGAAAAGCTCAAGAGTGAGTCTGTCCTTGACAACAGAGAGGACACACATTGTAAGGATGAGGTGGGTGAGCACATGGAAGACCTAGCTGAGCATTATCAGCACAACACCACTACAGTTGGCATTGAGCATGCCCGCCATACACTCCCGACAAATGGCATGTCGATTGCGGGTCAAATGAAGAAAGAACGCTCACCACAGAAGACCATGCATGCAGTATAGCGCCCATGGCCGCAAAATGGACATATAGTGTCTGGATGCGGAGGGTGCCGGCAGTCAGGAACGGAGGGACAATCCTCTACACACATGGATGCAGAAACCATCTGATTGTAGTGATTGTGACAGAGACGATGGCGGCTACAGCCGAGTGTAACAGTGTCTGTAGCTATGCAAAGGAGAAGGTCGCAGAGTGTCGGCACATTGTCCTGCTGGAGCACGGGGCCAGAGGAATGATGATCTTCGACATAAAAGATATTGCGGACAGTTTGGTGGGGCAAAGAAAACAACATCATTATGTAAGAAATCTGTAACATCAGTCATGGCATGGACCATGATGCCGTTGTCCCACAGCTCGCAGTGGTCAGAGGCATGCACAATAGCCATGTTAATGGCCAGGTCCGTGCGTAATGCAGGCAGAGATGTGGGATGGAGGATTTAACCACGCACCTGCTCGAGCATTGCGTAGTTCAAGTTGGCGGTCCCTCATTGCTACTTGTAGGACAGCAATGGTAAAGCCTCTTTCCCTGGTATAATTACAATCCTCTGGCGGTATGTGGGGGAGATCAGCATCAAGCTGAAGGGCGATAGCAAGGAAGTCTGATGGTGTTTGAAATGGGCGGTGGAGAATGTGAAGACAGATATTAGTTGCAGTCAGACCAAGCGGACTTCGATCGCATGGTCCCTGGAAGAGGAGAACGAAACAATGAAGACAATGAAAAGGCATGGGACCAAAGTGAAAGCAGGTGCAGGGGAGGTGCACGAGGAGGAGAAGGAAAAAGGAGGAAGAACAGGATGGTGATCCTGCTGCTGCTACTGCTGCTACTGCTGCTGCTGCTGATGATGATGATGATGATTGTGATGGTGATGGTGGTGGTGATGATGATGGTGATGGTGATGGTGATGGTGATGGTGATGGTGATCAATTTCCAATCAGGAGGGGAAAGAGTGAAAGGAAAGGAAATAGTGAGAAAATAAGGTGACCAGTTTCATGTTGTTGCACAATGGTTAAGACAATAGCTAGCTACCACTCCCAATACCACACCGTTACAGATATCACCAAAAAAAAAAAAAAAAGGACAAAAAAGTTGAAAAAACAAGGACAAAAAAAAAAAGGGTAGGTCAATGCACTCTGATCCTCCCTTTTTTTTCTTTCCATTCTCACAACTGACTGTTTCCTGACTTGCCACGCTGCTTATCACCACATTATCTCTCTCTCCAACTTGGGCTACCGTCTGAACCCGAATAGAACACACCGTCATTCTAGCTGTATGTGGACATAAAATTGCACCAAATACGGCTATAATGACTGGACGTTCTATTTGGGAAACACAGTAGCAGTTAGGTGCTGAGCTGCTGGCCAATCCTGATAACCTGTTAAACTGCCAGTACCTTTGCCATATCGGCCTGGGGCTGAATTCGCCCTATGCGCCATGGAAATTCGAAACTGTATCTGGCCGGCCCCGCCAGCCAATTTGCGGTGAAAACGAATATATTTCCCTCCCTTTTAACCGCCATGACATCTTTTTTCAAGCGGGGGAAGGTACTGGTGGTTTAGATAGGGGCCCCCCTCCTACATCTCATCTGAACTAAGAAACAGGGTTGGGCCAGTGTGGAGCAAAAGTTGGTGGTCAAATGAACCCTAGAAAAAATGAACCCTAGAAAAAATGAACACTAGAAAAAATGAACCCTAGAAAAAATGAACCCTAGAAACCGAGTAAGGGTCAAAGGACTGAGGCAAAGGAAATACGGACAGGGGGAAAGGACAAGTCACCCCTAGCAGTCCTGGCTGGGGCCGTTTTTTACTTCTTTTTTTTTTTTTTTTTTTTTTGCAAAACTGGACCTCCTTTTCCATTCTGGGGAGCATCAGTCGGGTTCCTACTCCACCGGCAAGTCAAAAGGACAATACATCATAATTACAGACACACGCTTCCTTCCGTATGGCCGACGGACCCCTGACCAGCATTGATTGCTCCATCCATATGGAGGATTGACTGTCAGCTTGCCACACTAAGCCCTTTCCTCTCAGAACTGTTGCACTCACCTGTCATATGGGGCCCGAATACCAAGAAAGGATCTAGCCATTTTCGCCACCTCCACGCCTCTACATGCCCTGATCCCCCTATTTTCTTGACAAGGTACATGCTACATTTCTCTTTTTCCTAAAACCCCTTAATAATGTCTAAACCATCCTCCTCCTCCCTGTCTCCTTCTAATCAGTCCGGCCCTAACCTCAGCCATCTTGACCAATTACCATCTACCTAAGACTACTGTCTTGAGCTGTTCCGACTGGGCAAGTCCTTCAGCCATAAGCCCCTGAGCCGTTACTCGAAGACTAAGATCCTTAAGGCTTAAACCCTAAACCCTCCCCTATTCCTCCTAACGGCACCCCTTTCCTATTGCACCTCCACTGATAAAACCCTGATGACTGAGATCCCAGGGTACTTTTTAAGTTCTCCCTTCCATCTGTAGAGTGTGTGAGGGCGTTTGACTTGTCGATGACGATGGAAGCCATCTATTCCTCCCTATCTCAGCATCTGTTTTTTACTTCTTTTTTTCTTATAAAAAAAAAGAAAAAAGTCAATGGTAGCAGTGTAGAGCACCTGCCGAAACGCGTTGGCACCAGGAAAGCTACAATGATCTTCAGTGGTGGACAGCATCGATCAACCATGTGGTGAACGGGAGAGAGAGGGGAGGGGAGAGAGAGGGGAGGGGAGGAAGTGCAGCTTCTTGTCATAGTGAAGGTTGTGGGAATGGGGAAAGAGGGCAGAAGGGCAAGGGGTGTGATGGTGATGTATCAAAAAGTGGCTTGGTTGACATTCACCTTTTTTTTTTTTTTTTTTTTTGCCTGTTGTTGAAAGGGCGACGGTCTTGAGTTATTGTCAAGCTGACCAGCCCCAGGTAATTCAGGAAGTCATTCCTCTAGTTCCATCTGGATTTGAACTCGGGTCTGCATTTCACGAGTTCATGGGCGTGCCAACTGAGCCGTTCAGCTAATTGTGTGTTTGTGTTTGGCGTAAGCTTCTCATGTGTGTTTTCACTGTTTTTTTACTATGTTGAATGATTGATTGGCAAATGAAATCAATCCAGATAGATGGAATTAAAAAACAACAACAACAACAACAACAACAACAACAACAACAACAACAACAACAACAACATTTGGCTTGCGTTCTTCTCAACAATATGTGAGTATGTGCAAGTTTACTGTTTTTTTTGTGTGTGTGCAGGTTGACCTTTACGGCTTTGAGCCGTGGACGGATGCCATGGCTAGAGGAATGAGGCATGCACGGTACCATTACTTCAATGGTGAAGAGCCAAGACCTGGTGCGCATAGTTTTGATGCCACGTACATGATGTATGAGTTAATGAAAACCGTCCCGGACCTACGGTTGATGGTGAATGAGATCCCTATCCCAACCGATGATGAAGAACTTTTGGCGCGAGACTTGGTGGTCAACGATAATGGGTTGACTGCGACTGCGGTGCAAGATGGGGCAGATTTGGAGGGAGAGGATGGTGTTGTTGAGCATAATCGTGACCGTAATGGCATCAGAGAGAGAGGTTCACGAGGTCATTCTCGTCGCAGCACTGACTGGGCAGTGCGAGGGGAGATGAAGAGATCTCAGGAGAACACTGAGCGGGACGAGGGCGTCGAGTTTTGGTGATGGACGCACTGTCAAGCGAATGGACTACACAATGCAGATGCGAGAGTGCGGGCGGGCAGGGCATGGGTTGAAGGCATGCCGCCATCCTATCTTGCTAGCCAAGTGAACGGATGGCGAAGCTATGTCAAAATGGTGCATCGGACAGAGTGGGTGTGGGATGAATGGATGCTCCTGTCCCATCTTGCTACCGTCTTCCCCCAAACATAACGCATATGCATTGTAAACAAATACAATGCATCGGCTGCTTTCTATTCGAATACAATGCATATGCATTCTATTCGAACAGCCCTTGTGTTTCCAGTACAATGCATATGCCACATGCGTCCGATTCGGATTTTCTGAATTTTCTGAAAACTCGAATACAACGCATATGCGTTATGTTCGGGGGAAGAAAGTTGCTTCCATTCCTAATCAAACTATTCTATGGGGATGGATGAGCTGATCAGGGTGAGGTCGGATGGATGGATGCATGCTCTAGATTGCTTGCCATTAGTGCATGGATTGATGGACAGGTGGACGGACGGACAGATGGATGGATGGATGAATGGATAGGTCAACGGACGGCTGTATATATGGATGGCTGACTGGATGGATGGATGAAGGGAGGGAGGGAGGGAGGGAGGGAGGGACGGATGAATGAATGGATGATGGACTGATGAATAGATTGACAGATGGATGGACAGGTGGACGGACGGACAGATGGATGGATGGATAAATGGATAGGTCAATG